GCCCTGCAGCTTGAGTTTCAAATGAGCTCATCCTTTCAAATTGGCGCCGCTCTTTATTAAATTTGTTTTTCCGGTAATGCCACCCACAGCTGTACCTGGGGACGGACCCAGGCTCGCAACCTTCCCACCTCTTGCCGACACCCAGGGCGCCCACCTTTCTTCACCCCGGGTGCTAAGTTCGCCCAGCTGGAGCCGGCTAGGAGACCCCTGGAGGGCGCCGGAAGGCGGAGCCCGAGCTGGGAGCGGGGAGCTTAGTGCTGAGTGCGCGCCCCTCCTAGACCCCCTCCGGAAGGTTCTGAGTGTTTTAAATTTCTGTTTTAAAGGTAAAGTGGAATTGCATGGGAAAATCATGGAAGTTGATTATTCAGTCTCTAAAAAGCTAAGGTAAATATACAGTATTTTGCTTAGTTTTTTTTTTTTTCCTCCTGGTGGATTGGGTATTAAGTATTAAGTAAAAAAATACGTTCAGCTTTTAAAAACGCCTTCTTACAGTTTTACAAAAGGTTTTTGTCTGCTTTCGTAGGGGAGATGCATAGTTTATAAAGTTAAACTTTTTTAGTTTCATTATATAAGGTGTTTACTGTACTTGGAAAATATCTGCTGCCTAATTGGGGGTCGGGAAGGCGAACACTAGGTAGGTTTAGCTCGCTGGCTGGGATCGTTTAACTTGTTTATCAAAAGTCGCCTCCCACCCCCCATTTCCCACTCCCACCCCTACCCCCAGCACAATGCAACAAATGCTTGTCAAGACTTCCTGTGAGATGTTAAGAGTAAATATTTACTGTGTCAGCTGAATTGCTTAACTAAACTACGCGATTACTTTTCTTTTTTCGATAGTTTAATGTTGAATAATAAAATTATTCAGTAAGGGTGAGTATTTTGCATAGCGTTCTAAAGAAATACAGTAGGTTTGTTTAGTTTGGACGACAGGGAAAAGTTTAGACTTTCAGTCACTGGGACAACTGAGCCTTGCTTCTGAGCACGTTGTGTTATTGTCGCTTTTAAGAAATGTTTAAAGCTAAATAGCAACGGCAAAAATCGATGATTACATTTAAAGGCTGCATTGTTCTTGAAGGAGTGACAAGTTTTGTGGAGGTTGGACTTCACAGTGATTTGCTAACATGAGAAATATCTACGGAGGAAAGAAAGGGAGACCAGCTTGGTTTAAAAGTTTATTGTGGACTTTAAATTTGGGCCCTTTATTACTTACTCATTCTTAACTTTTCTTCACCATTAGTCATTAGGTAGCTGAATTGCAAAGGCTAAGAGAAGTTGTTGATTTACCACCTTTACAATTTGTGTTAGTCAATAGGGCAGTCATTTACTTGATTTTTGCCAAGATTGAGTAGATTTTAAAACAAACTTCAGTTTTATAAATGCTTGGATGTGTTGTTAAAGGAATTTGTAGAGACTGAGCGCACTTCCAGATACATTTTAATATAAGCAACAGAATATCTTTTGTTTGCAAATGATTCTATGACGTATTAGAAAGCTACTTAATATCCCTTTTAAAAAAAGAGCGAAGAGTGCTAGTTTAAGCAGCACATACACTAAAATTGGAAGGATACAGAAGATCATCATGGCCCCTGCGCAAGGATGACACACAAATTCGTGGTGTTCCATGTTAAAAAAAAAAAGCTATGAGTTAGTTTCCAGTTTCATAGTGTGTTCCATTAAAAAAAAAAAGCTATGAGTTAGTTTCCAGTTTCATGTCTCATATTAAGCTACTTCCTTATGTTGGAAAAGATGTAATGTGTAACTGATTGGTTTTAATAAAGTATTCTAGACTTTCAAACTTAAAAAAAATTTTTTTTTTCATGAGAAATCCAAGTGGAAGCTTTCTGTTGTACTATTTAAGTTTAAACTACTCATCTTATAATACTTGAAAATTTGATGACAATATTGAATAATGTTTGAAAGAACCATTCAAAATGTGTGATGCACTATGTTTCTTTAAATGGTCTTATTCTATTGGCCCTCGCTATTGTGCTTCCTTTTTTGGGGTCATAATGAATAAAAATCAGTAGAATTTTAACTTCAGTTGGTGCCTCATTTCATGTTGCAATGTACATCTTTGAATTTTGCAATATACATGGAATATTGGCTTATCTAATGTCATTAACACCAAGTAAAATTCATCAACAAATAACACCAGTTTTTAGCTTCTATCTTTCAAAATGCAGATATTTGCTGTTGGCTGGAATACCATTTAAGTAGTTTTATGTAAGTCCAGAATTACAGGCATGGCTCACATTTTTAGCATAAAGAACAATCTAGGACTAACCCAGCCCTACTAGTACATGTTTCTTTTAACGCGTTGCTGACATGAAAGACCCAGAATGTAGATTAAAATGTGCTGTGTGTGATTCACTATACTTGAAGCTGTTTAACATACCAAACGTATGCATAGCTGTTGCTGTAGAGGAGTTGTGTCATTTCTGTTGGATGGTTTTAATCTTTTTTTCCTTTTCCTTTATTAGATTGAAATGCAGAAATTAGCTACTTGTGTGCAGGCTGAGAGGGAGCTAGCCATGACTGGTACTGTGCCCTGAGTTCAGAGTCCTGGGGTGAGGACCAGGGTGAGGTGTCTCTGGGGGCTCATGTAGTCTGGGCTCTACCATGCTGGTGGCTTTCAAGAAACCAGAGTACTGTGACGTTTGAAACCAAAGCTTTTATGTTACATGGTGGCTATTTCGGTGTTCTTTTGTTGCGTTTCTATGAAAATTAAATTAACAAGTTAGAAGTAAATTTGTGAGCCATTAGGTCAGATCTATATGTGGTTTTGTGTTGGATGAAGTGAAAATGTGAAGAAAACAGTTCATGCTTCTTGCTTGCTTGCTAAAACATGATTCCCACAATTGAGTGCTAGTTTTCTTTATATTGTATTTATTTCTTTGACTTCTCAAGGAGTTTTAATATCTTCATCCCAAGTGGATTTTTTTTTTTAAAGCTAATGGTAATTTGGAGTGAGATATTTTTATCTTAATTTATAATTTTATTGGTATGCCATTTGCTTACCAATTGAGTCTGGCCAAATATTGTTTCAGCATCATTTTATATGTGCTGTTACGCAGTAAAAGACTAGATACTATTTTCTCAGTTATTGAGAAGTAGTACATTCTTTTTTCCTTTTGCCACGTGAGTTTTGTTCTTAGATGCAAATTAATGTAAACCACAAACAAACATCTATTTCTTTCACTAAGTTATTTTCAGTCTGTTGAATAAAAATCTTTGGATCATTTTTCTTTATTCATATGTCTTGGTGTAGTATGTATGTATGAAAGATTTATTAAAGATGAAAACACTGATCATTTAAAGTGCAGTTAAAAGTTGAAACATTTTTTGTTATTGATACGAGTTTACTCGAGGGGGAAAAAAAGTCGTGTATAAGTACATGGGCATATTACAGAGATTGTTTTGAGCTAAGACGTGCAAACTTGAATGTGCTTTTTGTATCTAAGGTCGAATGATTCTGTGAGAAACAAAACTTTGAAAAATGCAATTTCTCCCCCACTCCTAGGAAGTCGCTAAGTGATGGCAAGCAGGCTTCCACTGAGATGGTGTCTACTGTGAGGTAGTGTAGGAAAAAGCTGTGAATTTGCCTTTCATGAGTTAAAAATCAGTGATTGTGTTCTCTCCAATGCAAATGAATTTGGTCTCCTATAGGAATGTTAAAGCAAACAGTATCCCAATTGTATTTTGCTTGTATGTACTACATTGTGTAGGGTTGAGTTTAAAAGAAAAAAAAAAAAAACACCCAACCTCAAGCCTTGCCTATAACAAAAGCTCTTGCTGCATCAATTTTTAATTTTCTAGAAACAGAAAAGACCTCTTAATCATATGGTTGTCTCGTTTCAAGAATTTGTTGAATTAGATTAATGCCTGGATTTAATTATCGTGGATTTCATGTGTGGTTATAACATGTTAATGTAAAATATATGATATCAGACTTTAAAGTTACTTTTCATTTGACTTTGGAATTGGATATTTAGTTTCCCATTTTTTAAAAAAAGTTAATTTTAATACTCTTCTAGTGAATACACATTTTTGTGACCTCAAAGACAAATATTAGAGTTATAGAAGCAATAAAGAAAAAAATTACTTTATAACTTAGGTAATGATTCAGGTTTAAAACTTTTTTAAAAGAGTAGTCATTGGTTTTTTACATTATTTAACATTAAAAACCAGTGAAATCTACAAATCAAGATACATTTTTTGTTTTGCTTGATTTTCTAATTCATTAAATAAATACCAATTTTAAATTGCAGAGTAACAATTTATGGAAGTATTTAATAACCTAAACATTAATTCTAAAAGACATGTAATACAGTTGCCAAATAGGACTTTTCAATAATATTTCCTTGTAATTGTACCTAATAAGCTGACCAGAAAGAGATGATCTAAGAATTTTGTGTTTTATGTTAAACTGAGAGTATCATTTAATAGATGAAGAAAAATAATATTTGTACAGAGCTTTTTATACATAATGGTTTGAAGTACAATATATTTTTTAAAGAAATGCTTTTTAACTTAAAAAATTTTAAAGAAATTAGAAGATTTAGAACTAATTACATGATCTAGCATTTCAGTATTATTTTGAGCAAACTTTTGTGGCGATTTCTCTGGTTTTTTAAGTGGCTTGTGAAAGAATGTAAGTGATGTTGAATTGTGCATAAAAGTATGTTAGTAACCTGGGCACATTTATTAAAAGTCAGAAAAGCTGTGAAAAACAGATTGCTACAGGAACTATTAATATAGGTTTGGTACTTTTATACTTTATAAATATTTGCTGTCTGCAACTGAATCACTCTTCCAAGTCTGGTAATGAATCTCAAAAGTAGATGAGCAATTGGCCAGAGATGTTAGAGGATATTACTTAGAGAATTGTGTCATCTCTCTGATTCAGTGGAGTGTGTGCAAATGTGTGTGTCTGTTTTGTGGGGGACAGTGGTTTCAGACAGATGGTATCAAGAGGGAGGAGGAGGAGAACTTTACTGAGCAGCAGTTGGCTCTGGATTTCAGTCCCACGGTGATTGAAACTTAAGGCTACCAGAGGCGAGGGGCTTTGCCTCCAGAGATGCCTAACACTTCACGTCTGGAAGTCCTCATGGCCACCTGTGGTGGCTTTTTCGGTGACCTCGCTGAGAGGACCATCCCAATGCAAAACCTACCTTCCTTCTTTTTAGCTTGCATTTCCCCTCTCACAAGTTATTCTGTGAAGCCTTTGATGATCTGTAAGCCATTTTTAAGTGTCAAAGTTCCAACATTGTGCACTTTTATTTGGAAATTCTATACTTTGGAAAGCAATCTATTATTTTGCATAACAAATACTCTGAGTCGATTTCTTTAAAAGCAGCATAGCATTGAAATGGTTTCTTTGGAAGCTATTAAAAGGTTTAATTTAAAATTCTAAAATATAGTTTTAAAAATTATATTTAAGCATCACAGAAGTATCTGATTTTCTTTTTGGTGTGAGAAACTTGGGCTCAACTAAACCAATTGAAAAAAAAATTTACACTCTCAGATTTTTAGTCAAAAGCATAATCTCTCAAAAGCTATGACTAACTCCTTAATTTGAGGGGTGGGAGGGTTCTGCCTACCAGAACATGCCCAAATAATTTATTAGTCAAATGTTATCCTCCCTAAACTCAATTTCAGGTTCAGATTCGTTTAAGTAGTCATTCAAAACAGTCATTGAACAGATAATAGCAAGTAAACCACCAAGCATCTACCAGTAAAGATAACAATTTTTCCTCCCATTATTACCATTAAAACATTTTAAATCTTTTTACTTTATGATTTGACTTCATGCTTACAAACTTATAATTTTCATTTGGTGGCATGGACTATATGGGTTCTATTTTGGGCAGCAAAATTGCAGAGTGCTCAGAGCATTATTTTTAAGGTTTTACTTTTCCTGTTTTGATCATGGATTTTAGTCTTGTCTCTCCATGAAATAGTGAAGCAGAATTATTTTCTTTTGCTGAAAAACTTTAGGTTCTGTTGCTTTGGCTGCCAAAGAGGAGGGGGTGCAGTGGCTGTTTCTGTAGTTCACAATTTGATGGCTTCTTGATGTAGAACAAGTAGGTGGGCAAAAATGGATGCTTTTGTGTTAGTGAGAGGCGATCAAATCCAATAGACAAACCTGTGCCCATCATTTAAAAGTTATACGCTGGTTTTCACTAGGTAGCAAGTTTGCTTAAGTTTGCATTCTTGAGATCTTTCTGTTCATTCTTTATTTTTAAAAATTATTTTCTTTACGCTTTATTTTTTTTTTTTTTAACAAGGTGAACATTTCACTAGGATTTTACCATTTTGTGAAAGTAGATATTTTAATAGGCCCAAGCAAGGAAAATGAAGAGTTCTGGTGCATGTTTTAGACTTTCTAATATTGACCTATAAGAAATGTAGCTAGTGACCAGAGGGATCTTCATGTCCTAAAGTGTAAATTTGCCTTAGGGAGAAACTTGACTTTTTTGTTTTAAATGTGATCCAAAGGTTGTGTTGTGATTCCATGTGTTGATAATGTAAACAGTACTAGCAACCTTAATGTAGGAAGATGAATTTTTATGTGCCTGTATTTTATGTTCATGTAGTTTTGATGATATTGCATCCTTTTCCACATATCA